GAGGACCCTGAGTATGCAGAGCAGGCCCTGAGTGGGCAGAGTGGGTCCTGAGTGGGCAGAGAGGTCCCTGAGTATGCAGAGCAGGCCCTGAGTGGACAGAGAAGGCCCTGAGTGGGCAGAGAGGGTTCTGAGTATGCAGAGCAGGCCCTGAGTATGCAGAGCAGGCCCTGAGTGGGCAGAGAGGGCCCTGAGTATGCAGAGCAGGCCCTGTGTGGGCAGAGTGGGCCCTGAGTGAACATAGCGGGTCCTGAGTACACAGAGCAGGTCCTGAGTACGCAGAGCAGGTCCTGAGTGGGCAGAGCGGGCCCTGAGTGGACAGAGAAGGCCCTGAGTGGACAGAGAAGGCCCTGAATGGGCAGAGCGGGCCCTGAGTGGGCAGAGCAGGTCCTGAATGCTCAAAGCAGGCAGGGGCCTCTATTGACATTTGCAGAATCCCTGAGTGGGCTGCCCTGGGCTGTGGGCAGTGGATGCAGAGTTGGCCATGCAGAGCTGGATGCTGAATGGAATCAGGAAGGAGGTGGCTGCCAGGTCACTCAGTACATGACAGATGTCTTTAGACTTGACTCTACTGTTTTCTTCAGGATGGTGTGGCAGCTGGAGCTGAAGCCAGCTCCAGAACCAGACACAGAGCAGGAACCCCAATCAGGGCCCTCCTTGGAGCCTAGGATGACACTAGAGCCACCAGTCACCATGCTGGAGCAGCAGGACCCAAAGCTGCCTTTCTCACCTAGGAGTCCACTAGGGACCCCCAGGCTTCCACCAGCTCCTCCAGACACGTTGGTGCTGCCTCCCGCCACAGCTGCCAAGAAACAGGCCAGGGTCACAGCAGGGTCCACAGCACCCGATGGGGCTCCCACTCCCAAGTCCCCTCATACTCACAGATAGTGACCTGGCTGGTGCACTCCCCAGACATCCTGGAGGAGAAAGGACAAGAGTAGGATAGGCCAACAATGACTGCCAAGAATACATCCTATGTGCTTTGAAGCCTCACAGAGAAGGTCACCTACACTTACCAATAAAATCCACAATCCCACAACTTAAAATCCCTGCTCTTAGTGCCCCATATGATCAGGAAATCTCTCAGAACTGCTGTCAGGGAGAGGGCTGTATTGGCATTCCATCCCCCCCACCCACCCAGCCCCTACTCCCAGCTCCCTCAGACCCAACCCCACCTGCACTCCTCGCCCTCCAGCAGCCTGCGGTAGGTGGCGATCTCCACATCCAGGGAAAGCTTCGTGCTCATCAGTTCCTGGTAGTCCCGCAGCAACTGTGCCAGGTCCTGCTTGGCCGTTCTCAGAGCAGCGTCCAGCCTGTCCAGCTTGGCCTGAGCATCCTGGAGGGCCAGGTCCCCGCGTTGCTCAGCATCAGTGATGGCGGCCTGCAGGTTGGCATTCTGGGAGGGGGCAGAAATGGGGGGGGGGAAGTGGCTGTAAGCCCAACACAGTCTCCCAAAGCACCCCTGATGGCTGGGTGGCTCATAATTTCATAAGCCCAAAATTATCCATGGCCACAAGCCCCCTCCCTGTGTCCTCTCATTCTAAGAGAAGATACTGCTTCCTCACTTCCTGTAGTGGGTTAAATAATGTCACCACAACTTTCATGTCCACCCAGAACCTCAGAATTTGACCTTATCTAGAAGTCAGCTTTCTACAGATATAACTAGTTAAAGATCTCATGATACCATCATCCTGTAAGGTGAGCCCTAAATCCAGTAACTAGTGTCCCTATCAGCAGAGGATGCAGAGACAAGAAACCATGTGAGATGGAGACAGAGATCAGAGAGATGCAGCAATGAGACAAGGAAGGCCAAGGACCTCCTGGAGCCACCAGAAGCCAGGATTCCCCCCAGCACCTTCAGACGGAGCATGACCCTGCCCTGTGTGGATCAGCAGCAATGAGATTCATCTTGAGGGCCACCACAGTTCTTCCTTTTTTTAGAACAGTCTCATTTCAAATATTTTGTCTGTTGTCAGAGTATATCAAAGCACATGTCTCAGCTTTTGGTTTGAAAATATCACCTCTTTACTTAGCCCTCCAGTCCAATAGGAAACTCCTAGGGGAAGGGTGGAATCTCCTGTCTAATCAGCCCTACAGCTGATCCAGAAAGGAGGAAGTCCCTAAAGGTGCTCATTACTCGATTCCCACATGAGCACCCATGGATGAGAACATTATCTCTGCTCCAAAGATGAAGAACTGAGGCTCAGAAAGGTGCTGTGTGGCAGGGCTGGGACTTTAATCCCAAATCCCGGCACATGGCATGCAGCCCCCTGGGGCCTGCACAGAGGAGCCCAATACATCATGTTTGTGCAGGAGAAGGAGTGGGGTTCCCACACAGAAGAGCACATTCCGTGTGTGAGGAGCTGGGATTCCCAGGCCTAGGCCCCTAGCAGATGCTCCTAAGTGGTGTCCCTGGTCTCTGGAGACCAAGTGCTTCAGAATCAGGTGAGCTTAGTTTAAAGACTGTCCTGGAAAGCCCCTGCAGGCTGGAATTCACAGGAGGAAGGATGAACTCCTCTCAGATGGGGCTGGACATTCTCTCCACCCCAAATTATCCAAAGCTCCAGCCAGTTATCAAGGTCCCTCAACACAAACTCACTGGCGCCCTGACTGGAGAGAGAAGCTGGGAACTGGGGAGAGTTGAAGGTACGAAGCAACAGGAGGAGGGCCTGGGAGGAGTGGGGAACCTACCTCCTTCTTGAGGCTCCCAATCTGACTCTGCAGCCTCTGAATCTCTTGGTGTAGCTGGGAGATCTGGATTTTGGTTTCCTTCATGTTGTCCCCATGAAGCTCTGCAGACACCTGAAGCTCCTGGTACTGTGGGGAGAACAGAGGTGACCCCATTAGTTAGGAGAACTGCCCCCTTTGACCCCAAGACCCTGGGAAACACCATCTCCCCCAGAGTGTAGAGATGCCTCCTCATGTCCTCATTTGGAAGGTGGGTCGAATGCTTGCAACCAGGACGCGGTGGGATATGATTGCAGAAGTTCAAGCTTCCTTCTCACAGTTTCCCTCTATTGCTTCCCTCCTGGAGAGGGAAAGTGGTCCTTCCTACCCTGCTCAGACCCTCAGGGAGGTTCTTAGAACTGTCTCAATGGGATCTCTATGGGATGTGGGCATGGGGACCCAGCCACTTCCAGCATGGTGCCACCCACCAGCCCCAGCACCTTGGTCTGATACAGCGCCTCTGCTTCAGCCTTGCTGGTCTGGGCAATCTGCTCGTACCGAGCTCGGACCTGGGCGATGATGTCACTGAAGTCCAGGCAGCGGTTGTTGTCCATGGACAGCACCACAGACGTATCGCTGACCTGGGTCTGGAGCTGGCCCAGCTCCTGCAGGGAAGACCAACTCGGTATTCCCCTGCCCCCCCCCCACTCCCTCTCACTTGGAGCCCAGGGCAGGTGGGCAGGAACTCTACCTTTCTGCCCCCATTCATGCCAGGTGGCATTGAGCCTCTGTGGACTCAATCTCCTCATCTGAAAATGAGTGCCATCGGAGTAGTCTCTAATGACTTTACAGCTTAGACATCAAAGGAAAACAGCCTGCAAGGCCCGAAATCCCTGGGTCGCATCACTCCTCAGGGCTCCGATCCCACTCCTCTCCCTCTCACTCTGGCTGCATCCACGCTGGCCCCCGTGTGTCCTCTAAGACTGTGCACCCCGGGCTGTGGGTGTAGCCACTGCCTGGGATCCCAGAAACACACCTGCCTGGTGAGTCTCCTCCCTTCCTTCGATTCTTTTCTCAAATCTCATCTCCTAAATAAGGCCTGCCCTGACTGCTCCATTTGAAATTGCCCCCTGCCCATTTCCACACCTCCTCTCCCTGTTCCCTTTTCCTCTCCTCCATAGCATTTCTCACCTTCTAACACACTCCGTAATACCCTTGTTTGCTAAAGCCATTTCTTGTCTGTCCCCTAACAGGAAGCAAGCTGTGTGCTTTCTGTCTAGTTCTGCACGGATATACCCCAGTCGCTAGCACCATAAGTTCATTCGAGTAACTGTTGAATGACTGAATGACCTGACTCTGAGTCAACCTAACAGGCTTCCCTCCTGCTCATGTCCTCCCTCGACACAGGGATCTTGACCACCCTGCCCCCACCCCTTTGCTCCCGCCTGGCCTGGGCAGATCCTCACTTCTTCATACAGACGCTTCAGGAAGCAGGTGTACTCTCCGAGAGCCGCCAGCTTGCCTTCCAACTCCATCTTGCTCAGGAAAACCCCATCCACATCCTAGGGACAGGGAGACAGAAACCATGTGTCCCCAATTTCCTTTATGTGGGCCCTACTCTGGCTTAGGAGTCCTGTTCACACACTGCCCAGCAGCCACCCACCACTGTCTCCAGAGACCCCATTCCCTCTCTTCCAGCCCCACCCTGGCCTGCTCTATCATTCACCTGACACTGACCCACTCCGCCTTTGAGAATTATCCCAACCAGTTCTACTTCTTCCACTCCCTCCCCACCCTGTCCTACAGTGACACCAGAGCATGTCAAGCAGTCCCTCAGTCAGGTCTCATCATGGGGCACCTGTGTCTGGGTAGATGTCCCATTTCTCTGGGAACCCCTGCCTAGAGTGGTAGTATGCCCTGAGTCGTGCCCCCACCCTCCTGGCCCAGGAAGAGGCTCCACACACAGGGGGCACTCAGCATCCAGTGGGGCACGTGACCCCCATCCTCACCTTCTTGAGGACCACAAAGTCATTCTCCACCGTGGCATGCTTACGGGCCTCCTCCTCATACCTGCCAAATTAGTAGACAAGGATGCAGTCTGAGGTGCCAGGGTCAGAGCTTGGGCCTGGCCTCCACGCACAGCCACTGGAAAGGACCCGCCTGGCCTTTAGATGCTCCCACATGGGACAAATGACCAGTCCCCTTCTCTTCTTTCCTGCCAGGAAGTTTTTGCCACATCCTAGCTATGTCCCTGTGCCACTCTTTCTGCCCCTATCTCTGTGATGACAATAGCCACATGACTCTGTGGCATATAAGGCACACTCAAATACCTTTTCTCAGCCACTACTCACAACCACCACTAGGGTGGGCAGTGTGGGTTTTATCAGGGAGATTACAAGACTTGGCCAAGCTCCCACAGACAGTGAGCCTGCCACAGCAGACCTAAAGTCAGGTCTCCTGGCCCCAGTCCTGGGCTCTTCCCAGGGCCTTCCTTCATCTGCCTCACATCTGATCCTCCCATATCCCTAGAAGGTCAGAGGGCAGATGACATGTGCCCAGCTTACAGATCTGGAGAATAAGGCTGAGAGAGGTGACATGCCCTGCCAAGGCCACATAGCTACTCCTAGCTCAGTTTCCCCAACCCAAGCCACCAAGGTAACCTAGGTGAGGAACCCAGAACCACAACCAGCTGTGAATCATGTCTTGGGCCTACAGATGGTCCCTTCCACCCCTGAGACCATAGAACATCTGAGTCACTTTAACCCACAGCCTGCTGAACAGGAACTTCTCCAGAAAAAAACTCACTGAGACATTGTTTCAATAAGCCCTTCCTGGCCCTGACCAGAGACCTGTCCCCTTGTGGCTGGGGCCTGTAGGAAATGAGCCACCACTCATAAGACAGGTCTCTCTGCCCTTTTTCCAGGGTCCTCCAGACTGGGGCAGGGGGAAGGAAACACCTCCTTTACCACCTGTAGCAGGTGGGCAGGGGAATGGGGATGCAGAGGGCAGGGTGGAGGCTAGTGTGGGTGCTCAGAGTGTGGACCCCTGGCTGGTAGGCACAGTCTGTGGCCTCCCAGACTCAGCCCACTCCCTGGGTTTGCCTACTTGGCCTTATACTCATCCTCCTGGTCCTGGAAAGTCTTCAGCTCAGCATCCAGGGCCCTTCGTTCCCCCTGGAGCTGCTCCAGCTGCTTCCTGAGCTGGGCCAGGTAGGCCTCAAAGACAGGCTGCAGGTTCTGGGGGCTGCCACTCACTCCCTGCTGCTGTAGCAGGTGCCATTTTGTCTCCAGGACCTTGTTCTGCTGCTCCAGGAACTGCACCTGTGGCATAAACAGAGGGTCCCCAAGGCTCCTCTGGAACTTCCTAGGCACAGCCCCTGGGAAGCAAAACCTCAGGGACTCTCGAGTCAACCCCAGCTGTCCCCTGCCTCCTAACCTGACCTGGGCAGGGGGAACCTCATGCCTTTCCATGAGGCGAGGGTCATCAAAGTGACTGCACAGACTAACAGGGAAGGGTCCGCCCACTGCTGGCCAGCTGTTCTCTGCCCCTGAGCCCAACCATGGAACAACAGGGCCTCAGCATAGCCAGGGAGACTCCAGTTGGACCACAGGAGGGACTTCTTTGCCACAGAAGTGACTAGAAAAGAAGGCCAGAATTCCCCATTCCCAAGCCCATCAAGAGCATCTCCTCTGAGGAAGCCCCCGAGACAGAGGCCAGGCTGAGTTGACCCTCACCTTGTCAATGAAGGAGGCAAACTGGTTGTTGAGGACTCTGATCTCTTGGGTCTCCTGCGTCCGCACCACCTGGAACTGGGGGTCAATCTCAATCTTCAGTGGAGTCAACAGATTCGGGTTGATGGTCACTTCTTGGATGCCCCCCGGAGGGCACAGGGAAAACCCAGGCCTGTCACTCCCCTCCCCGAACCACACCCCCAGCCTTTTCCCTGACCCCCAGGCCCTCCCACGAGAGCCTCTTGGGCACCCCCCAAGGGAACCGAGGCTCCTGCTACTGAAGCTGCCCCTGCTGCGGCCCCCTGAGCAAGCAGGAGAGGCTGAGCGAGCACTGAAGCCCCTCTGGGCCCGGCACGGGGAGAGAGACATGGCAGAGGCAGCCAGCCACACAGGCAGACAGACAAACTATCCAGGTGTGTGAGTTCCTGCCCTGGGGCCCCGGCACGAGATTTTATCCCCTCCCGTACCTGGGCTGGGCCTTGGAGAGCAAGATGCTCTTGACCTGACTGTGTTTGTCACTTGGCTCCAGCTGACTTACTCTGACACACTTGGGGAACAGGCATCTGGCACGTGCAGAGCCCAAAGAAGGAGACCCAGACCCTACCCTTGGAGCAATCAGGCTGGTGGAGAAAGAGGCACAATCTGAAGACAAGGAAGCATACAGAGGAGACCAGGATGACAGTGCTGGGGACAGGGAGCAATGACCTGAGCCAAGTCAGTGAGGGCCATTTAAGGAAGACTTCCTGGAGAAGGCGATAGGGAAGGGACATTCAAGAGAAAAGGAAGCTGGAGTGGATTCACATGAGGCATCAGAGGGCCCTGGGATGCCATGCAGAGGAGAATGAAGTGTCTTGGGGGAGAATCTATCTCAAAGAGTTAGACAGGAAGGCATATTGCAGCACTCCAAAGCCTGGAGGAAAATGGGAGTGTTACTGCCATCGTTGCCTAAAAGACACTCCAGGATTTGGAAATGAAATAGAAAAACAGGGTATCCAAGTCCCTCCTCTTGCCCAACCCAGCAATCATCCATGAGGCACCACCCCACTGAAACCACAGATCTCCCTGCAGGACGCATGGAGCAGAGAGCTTCCAGCCCAGCCTGAGCCCTGCTTCTTCCACTACGCATAGGCCAGGCCCACCCACCTGCGGTCAAGCTCCGCATCTGTCAGGTTACAAATTGGGCCCCCCGAGGCTCTGAAATAAAATATATTGTAAGAAAAACTCTCCTGGGGGTCTCAGAGCAGAAATTTGGGAGCTTTGGGATTCTCCACAGGATAGGCTCTACCCCTGACCCAAAAGCCTAGCAAGTGCAAGAGCACCTCAGGATCTGACCAGTGTTTTTGTACAACCTCCCACCCCCAGCAGGATTTCTGGTAGAAAGACATCTCACAGCCTCCACTTAGCCTCCTCCATGCCGCCAACAGAGTTGGACAGCTCTAATTTTTAGGAATATCTAAAATTTCTTCTTTACAGAGGCACTATTCCTCCCTGCCCCCTGCCCCTTTTCTAGAACCTGGTGCATTCAGAAGCAAGGACACTGGGAACTTTGACAATGCAACTCAAAACAAGGCCAAACAGGGGCTCACCATAAAGAACACTCAAGAGACATGCTATGAGGAAGTCCGTGTTAGCAACTGGAACCATCCTGCAGACACTCCACCCTGAGGCCAGCCAACAGCCAGCGTGACCTCCAGAGGATTACCTGTCCTTCCTCCTTCCCCTGGCCTCATTGGGCAGCACCCATGAATGAAACTGAACAACAGGTGACCTCAAGAGGAAGAAGAGGCAGAGCCTTCAGTGGAGAGAACAACGGAGTTCAAGGAGTGAGGGACCAGGTGGGGTAGAGAGGACAGAAAAGCCAGAGGAGGGGAGTTAGGTGCTCCAAGGAGAAGGGGGCAGCGTGGAGCAACCCCAGAGTCTAGAATGAGGAACTTGGAAACGAGGCAAATCTCACTACAGACACCGCTCAACTCTTGCCCCTGAGGACCACTTTGCAGAGGCAAGGTTTTGTGTGGACCCACGAATGTGCTTGAGAAGAGTCTCCATGCACGGAACTCTACCTATCCTCCCTCTCAGTATTAAGGGTGAAGGACACACTGGGATGGGGCCAAATCCATCTCCATAGGACTTCCCCATATTTGTAATATTATAGAATATTAGAGTCCCAAGCAAACTTCAAGGTCACCTGGCCCAATGTCTTGTTTTACATTTGAGGTCTCTGAGGCCCCAAAGGGTGTGAGGTGGGGCATGGAGATTGTGTACTCTTGGGTAACCCAAGAGATTGCACCAGATGACCTCCAAATATGCTTGTTCTCTCACTCTATGATCCAAGGGACTTGTCCAAGGCCACCTACACAGCTATTCAGGCCTGGCCACCACCCCCACCCAGCTCAGACCACTGCCCCATGGAGCAGCCCAAAGTGAACCTCCTCCCTCCTGCACATGCCCACCCTTCGAGCTTTCTAAGACAGCATCACCAAACACTTGATCATAACCCCATGCGGCCTGTCTCCTCCATCCAGTGGACACTAGGTATCAATAAGTATGTGTGGGCCAGGTGTGGTGGCTCATGCGGTAATCCTAGCACTCTGGGAGGCCGAAACAGGTGAATCTCTTGAGCTCAGGAGTTCAAGACCAGCCGGAACAAAAGCAAGACCCCATCTCTACTAAAAATAGAAAATAATAAGCCAGGTATTGTGAAGGGTGTCCATAGCCTTAGCTACTCAGGAGGCTGAGGCAAGAGGATCTCTTGAGCCAGAGTTTGAAGTTGCTGTGAGCTATGACACCACAGCAATTGACCCAGGGTTTCAAAGTGAGATCTTGTGGCAGCCCATATAGCTTATGGCTAGGAGAAGTGAGCGTTATAAGAAATACCTGGCTCGGTGCCTATGGCTCAAGTGGCTAAGGCACCAGCCACATACACCTAAGGTGGCAGGTTCGAATCCAGCCTGGGCCCGCCAAACAACAATGATGGCTGCAACCAAAAAATAGCCAGGCATTGTGGCAGGCGCCTGTGGTCCCAGCTACTTGGGAGGCTGAGGCAGGAGACTTGCTTGAGCCCAGGAGTTGGAGGTTGCTGTGAGCTGTGATGCCACAACAATCTACCCAGGGGGAAAGCTTGAGGCTCTGTCTAAAAAAAAGAAAAAAAAGAAATACCTGTAATGGAACACCTTGGTGAAAAGGGCATGGAGAGAGATTTAACTCTCCTAACAAGCATGAGAGCAGTGGTGAACTGGCAGTCTCTACACCTGTGGTATTAAGAAGCACAAAATCAGCCTTGTATTAGGCTGGAAGAGAAGGCAGTTGAGAGCGTGCACTTTCTATCACGGACTCGCTTATTCTGACTCTGTCTCCTCTCCTGCCTGCAGAACGCCAGCATGGCGTCTCTCTGCTGAAGATTGCCAAGCTCTGCCAAAGACTAAGATCTATCTATGCTAAGAAGACTGCTTTACTCTAAGACAGTCTCTCTCTCTCTCCAGCTAAAGTAGATAGCCCTCAACCACATAAGAGAGACTGTTCCTGAGCAAGGTAGCTTAGCAGTCTGCATCCGGAACCTACCCAAGCCAGGCCTGAGACCTGGCCAGTCCTGGGCCCTGACAGCCTTGTCTCAAAAAAAAATTATTTGTTTAAAGAGATGAATTTTTATTCATGGCAGTTACACCCAGAGACCTCTTAAATGCCCAAACTTGTGAATGCTGCTGTAATAGATGTTTCCCACTTTAGAAATAGTAAAAAATATAAGGTGAGGCATGGTGGCTCATGCCTGTTATCCTAGCACTCTGAAAAGCCCAGGCGAGTGGATCACCTCAGCTCAGTAGTTCAAAATCAGCCTAAGCAAGAGGGAGAGCCTGTTTCTAGTTAGGAAGGAAGGAAGGAAGGAAGGAAGGAAGGAAGGAAGGAAGGAAGGAAGGAAGGAAGGAAGGAAGGGAGAGAGAGAGAGAGAGAGAGAAAAAGAAAAAACAGCCTGGCATTATGGCAGACACCTGTAGTCCGAGCTACTAGGGAAGATTTAAGCCCAAGAGTTTGAGGGTGCTGTGAGCTTTGACTTCAAGCACTGAACAGAGTGAGACTCTGTCTCAAAAGAAAAAAAGTACAATCAGCTCACGTAGTGAACTTAACATTAAATCCAGCAAAGCAAAGACTCTCATGGGCCCTGTCTTTCCTCAGTTTCCCTCGCTCCAGGTTAGCCCTCCTGAAGCACTCCTCATGATGCAGCCCTACCCTGGACCCTGTCTCTAAGAAAGCCCCAGCCAGCACCATTTCTCATGGCTTCCCTGAGGCCACAGTGACAACTCCCAGTCCCTTTCTCTCTAATTGCTCTCAAGCCTCTTATTGCTTGTGCAGTTGATTTTTTTTTACTCAGATGTCATTTACTCATATTTATACATTTATTCAACAAAATACGGGTGGGCACCTACTATGATGTGGAGCCTCACAGGACTGGGGAACCTGCGGCTCTGGATCCTTGAGTGTGGCCTTTTGACTTGAGACTCTTTTTTTTTTTTTTTTTTTTTTTTTTGAGACAGAGCCTCAAGCTGTCCCCCTGGGCAGAGTGCCGTGGCATTACAGCTCACAGCAACCTCCAACTCCTGGGCTCAAGCGAGTCTCCTGTCTCCGCCTCCCAAGTAGCTGGGACCATAGGCGCCCACCACAATGCCCAGCCATTTTTTTTTTTGGTTGCAGCCATCATTGTTGTTTGGCGGGTCTGGGCTGGGGATTCGAACCCGACACCTTAGGTGTATGTGGCTGGTGCCTTAGCCGGTTGAGCTATAGGCGCCGAGCCTTGAGACTCTTATAATAAAGGAATTTGCTCTTTGAAGTTTGGACCTGGGCAAGAGGCCACACTGGGGGATGTGGAAGGCCACATGTGGCCTTGAGGCCAGAGTTCTCCAGTCACTGCAGTATGAGATCTTAGAGTCTGGGGGGAAGCAGACATGAAAAAGGTAATTCGGCAAATCTTTTTTTTTTTTTAGACAGAGTCTCACTATGTCACCCTCGGTAGAGTGCTGTGGTGTCATAGCTCACAGCAACCTCAAATTCTTGGGTTTAAGTGATTCTCTTGCCTCAGCCTCCCAAGTAGCTGGGACTACAGGCACCTGCCACAACGCCCAGCTATTTTTTGTTGTGGTTGCCATTGTTGTTGTTTAGCTGGCCCAGGTCAGCTTCGAACCCACCAGCCTCAGTGTCTGTGGCTGGCACTATAACCACTGTGCTATGGGCACCAAGCCAAGTCTTTTATTATAATTATGATAAGGAGATGAAAATACAGGGCTCAAAAGAAGTCAACGTAGTTTATCCCCGAGTTTATTCTCAAACATCCCAAGAACTCTCCCCACTCAGGGATTTGCACTTGTTGTGTCCTGTTTCTA